AATTATTTTGTATTGGTATTTATACTACAATTTCATGCTTCGTACTTTATACTATCGGTACAAGACGGTATAGAGGTGTTAGAAATCATTAATATTGAACTTAATTTTTTTTATGGGAATAGGAGGCAAGCGAGCATGTCACCTGGTGATAAGCGATCACCGCTGCCCATGGAGACTTGCAACATCGGTTGAGTCGAAATTGCGTTGCCGGCCTTTAAGGTCCCTAAGTTGTATCAATCTGGAAATACCGCTGGCGATAATTCGTTCCACAAAGTAGTAGTGCGGAGTGGAGTTTCGTGAAAAATGCACAGTGGTGGAGCGCCAACCGTAAAGGATGTGTCGATGGTACTTGGCGGTTTGACGAGTTGTACGATGGTGAAATTCACCAGCAGGTATCAACCCAAACAATTCCTCAGAACACTCCCCATGATATATCCGATAGAAAATGCAAAGAGACCAAAGAATCGAGGCGATCGGACAGGATTTGGTCGTCGACGATTCGAGCAGCTCTTCGTTGAATGCGGTCAAATTTTGCGAAAGAGCTGGGATTTCGATGCCCCAGCAAAGAGGTTAGAACAATATTCCATGTGCGACCGAATCTGTGCTTTATAAAGCTGCAAACGATGTATCGGCAGGAAATACTGTCTCGCTCGATTTAGGACACCGAGTTTTTTAGAAGCCAGCTTGGCTTTTACTTCGAAATGACCGCGACTTTGAACACTGCTCGATATATCGACCCCAAGAATTCCGATCGAATCGGTGGCAACAAGGGGTGTGCCTTCAGAAGAGGGAGACACGATGTAGGGTAAACGCGCAAATCTGTGTCTTCATGGTGTTAAATTGGACTAAATTAAGTCTGCTCCAATCCGAGTTTTTGCATAACATAACCTCGACTTAAGACAAAAGTTTATTCCGGCACTCTTCGACGTACTAAGAAATATTTGCCCGGCCCGTATATAATGCGTCACCCGTAGTGTCATCCGCATAGCAATGAATATTACAAATATGCAACAGATCATTAATATGCAGGGGGAACAACGTAGGGGACAGGACGCAGCCTTGTAGGTTCACCAGAGTTCACGAATTTAACGTCGGAGCAAGCACCGTCAATAACGACCTTGATGCTCCGACGAGTAAGAAAACTAGTGATCCAGTTGCACAATTTCTCAGGAAGCCCGTAAGATGTAATCTTAGAGAGAAGTGCTCTAAGATTAATGATCTAAGATTAATTTAATTTGATGCCAACCCCGATCGAAGGCTTTCACTACATCCAAGCTAACCGCCAAGGCTTCACCTTTTGTCTCAACTGCCTCTGCCCATCGATGCGTTAGGTACACTAAAAGTTCAGCTGAGCGACCGCGTCGAAAGCCATATGGACGATCGCTAATGAGGTGGTGCTCCTCAAGGTACCTAAGGAGCTGGCAGTTTATAATGGACTCCATTATTTTAGAGAACAAAGAGGTGAGGGCAATAGGCCTATAGTTCGACGGATCTGAACGATCACCTTATTTTGGGATCGGGTGCACTAAAGCCGTCTTCCAAGAAGTTGGGACAATGCCTAGGGAGTAGGAGTGCCGGAAAAGACGCGATAAAACCGGTGCCAACTCTGGAGAACACGTCCTTAACACAATGGCCCGCTCAACTTTTGGATGTCTAAGGAGAAGAGTGCTTTACGCACTGTGCTCAGCAGTAACCTTATTTCTGGCATTGTGTTCTCACACCGTGGGATAGTCAGTGGCGTGTTCCCTTATCATCCAAATTTCAGTTTTCTCTTCAGCGGTATGGGCTAACCGAATCATCTCCCCTGTGCAGAGATGGAAAAGATGGCGTACAGAAGTTTCCTTGAACAGCCTTGGCGAGAGACCAGAATGCACGAGTCCCCCAAGGAAGGTTAACAAATCTCTCGCCAATTTTGCCGATGTGCTCTGACCTTGCTGAAGCGATTGCTCAAAGAGGACCTAGAGTCAAAGTTGTACTCCTTTTTAAAGTGACTGATATTTACATCCCTAGACACCACCGCAACGGTCCAGGCCCAATAACTCTCCTGCTTATGAAATGAAATGAAATGAATGAAATGAAATGAAATTATTTATTTCAGACTGCACATAATAAATCATAATACAAGTCCATAGTGTTAGTTAGAAACTTAAAAACTATGTTAGTAAAATTTAAAATATTTATTATTATGTTGGACATGTATGAAAGCCCAATGTTTTATTATTGGGCTGTCCACTCGATCAGACACAACCTTCAGGAGTGTGTTGGAACTGCTCCTCACCCGCGTCCATAAGGAGGCAGCTCTTTTTCGAAGCACTGCCTCAAAGCTATCAGTGCTGTAATCGGTAAACATGCCTGAAGCACTACAACGCCAATGCAGCCCCAACAAACTCCTGAAGCTGTTGTTGTACTGGACACGCAGAGCATTGTATGCTTTTTTGGTGTAATTGCTCCACAGGTTGCACGTGTACAATGTTTGGCAATAACTTTTAAAAAGTGTTACCTTAACTTCGCGCGAGCAACGTGCGAACCTGCGGGATAGCATATTACTCCTTACCGACAATGCTCTGCGTTCCCTGTCAATGTCCATGTCATCGCACAAATTCTCGGTGACCCAGTGACCCAGATACTTAAACTTAGAAACTTGCTGTAAGACAGTTCCATTAAGTGTAATGGGAGGAACACGATAAGTTTTAGTACCTGCCTTAAAGACCAGCAGCTCGCTTTTTTTCACGTTGTATCTGAGTCCATGGGTCATGGCATACTTTTCACAGATGCTTAACAGGGTTCTCACCGAGTTGACCGAAGGGCCCAGCAGTACCATGTCGTCCGCGTAGCTAATGTTATTAATAAAACAGCCATCTACCGAACAACCGACACCAGCACTGCTGAGCTCCCCAATCAGTCCGTTGACATACACGTTAAATAAAGTAGTGAGGTTAATCCCCCCTGCCTTACTCCACACATCATTTTATATTCTTCTGAATATTCCCCTGCCCATCTAACAACGTTACGTTGGTTGTCATACCAAAATTTAAAGATATTAATAATTTCCATAGGCAACGTACTTTGCATTTTTAATTTGTTCCATAAAACATTATATATAACCATATCAAATGCCTGAGAAAGATCTAGAAAACATGCAAAAACTGGTGTTTTCCTAACAGTGTAGTACTGGACAGTGTGCTTAAGGCACAGCACTGCAGATTCAGTGGACAACCCAGATCGAAAGCCAAACTGAGCATCATGTAGCGAGATGTTTTGACTCAAGTGCTTATTAAGCACACTATCCAGCACCTTTGCGAGAATTGTCGCAAGTGATATTGGTCTATAATTACCCTTATCTGAAGCGTCACCAGTCTTATTCTTAATAATAGGTACAACTATAGTCTTCATGATTTCTGCTGGTAGGTAGTTATGACGCAGACATAAAGTAAACAGCACAGACAAAACTCTAGGCAGGTGAGGCCCAGCATGTTGCAGATGCTCGATACTGAGACCATCGTGCCCCGGTGACTTGCCTCTTGTCATCTGTTTAATAACGGTGGCAATTTCCCCACTTGTTATTTTTACCAGAGAGTCACCAGGAGGCCGTGTCCCAGCATCCAGCATCCGCTCACACCTCTCAGGATTCAAGAGTGGTTCCACTTTAAAATGGCTTCTAAAGAGGTTGGCCACGTCACGGGGTGCACTAATACCATCCACACTAGCTGGCACGTTTACTTTTGGGGTTAATTTATTAGTGGATTTCCAAAAGTGAGAGAAATTTTTTGCTTTATGATGGTCAGCTATTTATTATATCCATCTTTATTTGGTCTTTGTGCTTAAGGCAGTACTTCAGTTTAGCTTTAAATTCTCTTCTGGTATTGCACATTGCCTCATAAACACTACCAGCCCCTCGGCTTACCATACAAACACCACTCCCGAAAACATATTCTAGCCTTTTGCTGTGCCTGTCGAACATGCTTATTCCAGCCCGTGACGTGACGTCCCCTGGAACATGCTGCACCTTTAAAGGTAGATACTGAGGCCTCTGTCAGCACTGTTACAATTGATTGGTAAAGCCCATCTATTGTGGCTCTATGGCTATCATTATTACATAATTTATCAGCGCAAAGTCGAAATGCGTCAGGAAAATCTATGTTTTTTAATTTACTTTGACATAAATCATGATATTTATTTATTTGCGACTGATCTCTCTCTCCCCATATAACACCTTTTACTGTATTATTACAATCATTGACATCTATTGACAACTTCGGTATACTTTGCTGTAAATTACAAACTATTTCTAACGGTAAGTGATCTGACCAAAACACATTGTAATGAATTTTTGCACTCACAATAGTTTGTCTAGCGGCTAATGAGGACACACAATGATCAAGCCACCGCGTAGACCCGTGACAATCACTCACAAAAGTATATGAGTCCGCTGGCAAAAGTTCAGTATCAACCATGCTTAGTTGTTGCTCACTACAATATACTTTAAGCTCATTGAAAAAAGGGGGTATCAGGATGCGCGTTAAAGTCACCCAACACATAAATTAAGTCCACGTCTTCATTTTCAATGATAGCACTTATTTCGGCTAAGCACGATACAAACTCGGCTAAATTGTCACGTTCGTCCGTAGGCATGTACACTGATATTATAATCATTGATCTACTACCCATAGAAACCTTAATCCCAGTTAAACGCACACTCTGACACTGAATTACAGACACACACGGAAAAGAGGACTTACGCCATAGAAGCGCCACTCCACCATAGGGCCGACCACGTAGAATCCCCGCCGACAGGTCCACAGCTGTGTTACCTGTATACGCGAACTCCGTGTCAATTGCTCCCAGCAGCGGAATGTCGTGTTGCAGTAGCCAAGTCTCTTGCAGTGCGATGATGTCAGCAGACTTACATGAGTCTCTTAGGCATCCCATAGCTCCAGACAAACCCTTGCAGTTGAAACTCACGAAATTATAGTTCTTGTTTATTGGTGTACTACCCATCACTGGTTGTTTTGGTTTGCCATATTTTTCATTTTGGGTTTTGTGAAGTCCACAAAACGCCTAAACAGTACTCCCTCTGGCCAAAAGTTTTCATTTAGGAATAAGTCTAGTTTAGATTTTGGCACAAATACTTTGTATGCATTGTATCCCCTATCGTGTTTTAATGCCAGTTTCTGCAGCGAAATATTCATTTGAGACTTATTGTACACATGTGCGATGATGTCGTTGTCAGTCGTAGACTTGTCGACATTGTAAATAAAGAGCGGTATTTTTATGTCAGCCGCCCTGAATTTGCCTTCTGGTTCTGTAGCAGCAACACCTTTTTTTCCAATTATTCTATTTCTTAACCTTTTTCTTTGGGCTATTTTCCATTCTTCCGACGGGCTTTCACTTTTCCATTCTCCAGGTGCCATCACTACTTGTGCTAAAGTATTATTAGTAGCTTTAGATTCTTGTTGACACATACGCTGTCCTGCGTGCGCAGCGATGGTAACTGTTTGGGATATCGGCGATCTTGAACGCGCACTATTACCTGTAGTCGGCGACGTAGGGGGCATTGTATGCGCAATGCTCTGGCTGTCGTCCGCGCCCTGATCGAGGTCCGCACCATTAGTCACTCCGCCTGCTGTGCCGATCACCTGATTTGACGTTCGTGTTATTGAACGCGCACTCGACTTGTTTACGTCGTTTTGTCCGTTATGAGTATGACTCACGTTTGCATTTTTAATTTCTCTGTAAAAATTTACAAACGGCGGAACCGGTGGTGTGTCCGTGTTTATTAATGTATCATTCTTATCATTTTTCGGACTGGACTCTGATAAATGATGAAAACCCATCGGCCCACTGTCATAACTGTAATTATTTAAACTTATGGCGAAATGCCACTTTGCAGGAGGCGACGAAACCAGGGATTGGATCTGCCGCCAATGGAAACCATAGAGAATGGGATAATAAGATTCTATTCCCTGAAGCACCACATTGGCCACAAAATCAGCGATGGCGCTGGGATCATCCAGTAAGACCTCTCCTACCTTGCCCCAGGGATAAGATGATAAGAAGGACTGCATCCCATCCCAATCTGCTGACCTGTAATGCCATACACGACGAAAACTCGCAGAGCGCGTAAGCGTTATGCGCGCGATGGGCGCTACACTCCGGACCAGACAGTGGTCTGACGAGCCAAGGGGGACATCGACAGAAAGTTGGTAGTGATCCGGATAAGTGGTCAGCAGAAGGTCCAACAGGGAAAGAGAATGATTTGAAACATCTGGGATCCGCGTAGGCATAGTGACCAATTGTGATAAACCATTTGCAATGGCAAAGTAGTGTACAGACCTCCCCGCATGATCGATGGTATGTGACCCGAGCCAGTCGACGTGATGGGTGTTAAAATCACCAAGGATCACGATCTCTGCGGTTGGGATCTGTTGGAGCACATAATCTGTACCCATTTGGACGTTGATTACAAGTCAGTCTGTTTCGGTATTGCCGCTGTGGGACCTATAAAGGCACGCATAGACGCGGGAGTGTTCGTCGCTGCCTACACGTAGCCATATCATGGACAGTTCCATACCTTCAAGTTTGCTGAGACGACGAGAGCAGATATCCTACCTAACATACACACAAACTCCGGCTCGGGGCACAAAGGAGGTTTTCAACTTATAACCCGGATAAGAGAGATATGATGTGTCTGCCGGAGAAGATATCTGACAACCTCACTCACCGGACGAAACGCAAAGGTACCTTTGCTTTACTTTACGCCGATCTTCTGTGAGGCCGTGATACTTCCCCGGTTTGAGCCGGCCCAATTCAGCTCCACCAAATGCCGATGCGTGGCTCTACCACATACAGATCTATCATGTTAAGCTAAATAATAAATAGCATGCAAAATATTAATGACATCAACTAAAGTTACTTTAATTTAATATGTAAAGTGAACTAAATGTCACATAATATAATATCAATTTTTCATAAAAAATTATTTAACGTCATAAAAATTATTATCATTTAACCACATAAGTAACTTTTTTAAATTGTCGTAACTATTACTAAATTCTACTGCTAGGCATATCTTTTAGGACAAATCTCTGCGCGTTTCTTTTTGACCCATGACACAAAGTTACATGTTTTTTATTCGTTATTTTTTGATTCGCTTCAGAGCTAAAGAAATTGATTTATCTTACTAAATAAGCTGTTTGTTTCTACCAATGAATGTCTTAATCAATAATATACCTAGAAGAAATTTGATTGAAATTAATAAATAATTACTGTGTTTTTTAATTAAATTTCTGATTCATTACAATAATGTGAAATTGATATTAAAATACTATTACTTATTATTTTATCATACTAAATTAAATACATTTTTTTTGAAAAACGAAAATTTGACTGATATATCGATATTTTTTTCGATATATCAAGGCCGATATTGATATTTTTATTACTATCGATATATCGACATATTTCTTGACATTTGGCATCCCTAATATAGCTAAGTCTAAGTACACCGCGTAGAACATGCTATTGTTGCGAAGGTTCAGAACGTAAATATCAATCAAAGAAGTGTATCCAGCTGATGGGAACTGGATATCTGACGAGTTTGACGTTCGATGAAGCTCTAAAATAGTCTACGGACTGAAAGCAGAGGCATCTGTCAAAGTAAAGTAAAAAAGTAACATACTATAAATGTCGCACCGTTGGGCAAACCGCTGAGGGTATTAGGGTATACATGACTCTACTCATCTTTATAATGGCCCTCGTCAATGCAGAAAATTGGGGCAAATATCCCTTTATGGCCAACCGCTCCCCTGGGAGAAAAAGGTCAAATACTTAGGAGTCACTTTCGACTCGCGTATGTCATTTACTAAGCACATTAATAACGTTCGCAATAGAGCCGCGTTCGTCTCCGGTCGGCTACACAATTTAACTAACGCTAAAAGTAAAATGCCCTCAAGGCACAAATTATTATTATATAAGACCTGCGTACGACCTATTATGTATTACGCATGCATGACCTTCGCCCACACGCACCCTACTCGCTTGTACAAGTTGCAAATAGTACAAAATAATTTCATCCGCCGCGCAACCGGTGCGCAGTGGTATCAACGCAACGTCGACCTGCACAGCGATTGCAGACTCTCGACGATTCGCGAATATTTTAAAGACCTGACCAAACGGTTTTTCGATAGGGCCGAACATCATCCCAACCCTCTGGTGGTAAACGCAGCAAATTACCAACCCGACACAAACGCGAACGTCAACAAGCGTCGCCCGCGAAACGTCCTAATCGACCCGGTCGAGGAAGGGGACTTAGATACGCCGGACCTACCACCGGGGGTCCCGCTGGACAACACTACACCCACAGTTAGTGCAACAACAAACACACTAGTTCGCCCTCGCCTCCGAGCACGGCGGGACCAACACAACGCGTACACAAGGTACACCCGCGTACCGGGGCGGTTCTCACCGCCCCCAGCCACCGATTAGCTAATTGCACAGCGGACGGCCATCGGGGTTTCGGTCAGAACCGCGACTTCGATGGCCCTTAGATGACACACCATAGTTAAACGCACGCATGAGCACATGCGTGGCCCTACCCACAGCGGAGGGCCCAAACCTGTGGGTTCTGGCTAGCCCACCGGTTCTGCGTCAGATGAAGCTTTAAAAGTCTCGGAACTGAAAGCAAAAACATCAGTTAATACAAGATACAAGATGACTTGCGGATTGGTGGAGTTCACATATCTTTGAAATATCGTGGAACTCGCGTCATCTTCATTGAACGCTTTCCATGAGCTATTTTAAAAAAAGGAATACGATAAAATGCATTTGTAGTTATAGATAATTATGATATAAATACTGTTATAATTGTTCGGAGTGAAATAACCTAAAATATCTATAATTAAATATGATACAAATTTAAATTTTGATATTGTTTTATGTTTTCAATTCTGTCGGCAGGCCTTTGTTTTTTTTAATTATTGTTTGGAAAACATACACGTGATAAGTCAGCAATTAAAATTAACAATTTCATTGCACCAGGGATTTAACTCAGGTAGCTCGAATATATTAAATCAAAGGTGAGCACCCGGACAATGAATGACCTATCAAATAAGGTAAGACCACTCTATCCACACTCAATCACTCCATCAATTTAAGCGAAAGAGCATTTCTAAAAATTTAATTAATGACACTGACGATTTTCGCTTACGGGAAATTAACCAATGCTAAATATCGAAGATTATGTGTACCCTTTTGTATTTATTTCCAATACCCATGCATTAATATTATTTACGTAAAAATTATATACGTTAATTAAAAAAACAGATTGAAAACAAACAAGTAAAAACACATTCGGAGTTGAGTGGAAGTTGTTTGCCTAATTTAAACTTTTTATTTCGTTGTTATCGTACTTTTCCAGTTCCCATTTCATTTGGGGCATTTTAAAATTTTATTAATGATTCTTGCAGCCAGCGTTGCTGGTGTGAAATTTTTCGAAGTTTTTTTTTATAACAATAACTTTTATGCAGCATGAACTAAAAGAGAAATATTACATTTTTGTAGAAAGCAGAGCTTAACAATAACATAATTATTTTAATTTTTTTTTTATAAATTATACAATACTACGCGTCATTTTAATTAATAAAAACAACGAACTTATTTTATTGTCATGAATCCGTCAAAGTACACATCCAAATGCAAATTTGTTTTTCATTCCACACTACTAGCCTACAAATGTTTTCATCTGCGCCATATCAGCGAAAATTCAGAAATCTTCTTATTTATTCATGAGTTCATGATAAGAGTTTCGCTTTCAGTCATAAACACTTGATTATTTGTATAGTACGAAGAATAAAAGTTTTATTAAAAGTAAAAAAGATTTCCCATTACACATATGTATAGTTTAAAAAGGATTTTCCATAATACATGTTTAACACCTTGCGACTATTTAATAGAAATTATAGTAGTAACGCATAATAATGCATACATAAAAAAACATGATTTTCAAATTGGTGACTTCTTTAATAAATTCCTGCTATTCATCATAACACACTTTTTTAGGCGCCAATGAGAAAATTTTCTGAAATTGGAACAAAATTATCCACATCGGCAACTTTTCATTCGCCTCTGGGTCGTTCCATTCGCCTAAAAATTAAAGAGCGCATTCAATTCCCACCTCGGGCGTAACTCCGTCAAAAACTTCGCAAGTTAGGTCGACGTCGCTAACTTAAAGACAAATATTTGAATCATTTCTTCTAAACAATGATAAAGAGTGGAATAATTTTGTGTCCTGATATAAGGATAGTGCTAATTTTGATTGTTATATTAGTAAACCTTTTTCTTTAAATCGTATTGTTTAAGTTTCGATAATTATAAGTTTTATATGGTACGAGTAGGTAACGCAAAACATCGAACAAATTCTATACAAGTAATTAGCGCATTCGAAAACGCGTCATCTATATTTCTGTCGTCATACTTATCGTCTATACAAACCGTATAATTATGGTGTTTTAACTATATGACTAGATTACCCTCGTACTTTTATAACATGTTGTCAGTAACTCGCTATCATATATTATTATCATAATTGTCATAATTGCGCTATCTCAAAAAGTTTTCAGATGGGTGGGCTAACATTCAACGGCAGCACTGCAATTACCTCAAAAACTTACCAGATGGTGCTATATGTCATTGATTCGACTATTCTTTATTAAAAAAATCTATTTTATTGAATGTAAATCGCAATAACATCTAAACGTAAAAAGCAATATCTAATCTAATTACAAAAGTTGAGCCCAACCGTTACAGGTGTTTCCTAGATCTATACAATCAACAGGCA